AATAACCACCACGTGTGCCATACAATCAGCATCTGCTACTCCCATTTTCTCAGATGCTGCTAATGCAGCACTTAGCACTAACCCATCACTCTCAGGCTGACATCAGGCCTGCAGAAGACTTACTTCAGCAATAACACCTATCCCTAAAGCATCATTTCCATCTCCTACTGGTAGGGGTAGTACTTAGCACTTGTCCTGAGAACCTGTCAGTGGTCCTAGCCTTTCCTATCTTAATTGCTGGAGTTTTCTTTCTGCTAGTGGACTGTTCCTGTGTAATGGGATTATGTACTGCCCTGGTGTCCTGCTCAAACAAAGATGTTGATAGACCTCTGAAAGTTATATTGTCTAGCAATTCAGATAACCATGGTCTTTCAGAAGACTATGCTAGGTAAGAAAAGGAAGATCTTATAGCCTAATAGAAAAAAGAAGCTCTTGGACTAGGGAGAACGGCTTGGAAGGTAACGTTTCCTGATTTCCCAATGCTCTACTCTACTCTTTAAAGGGTAGATGCTTTTGCTGGTGCAGCTTCTGAAATGATCGTTACAGACATGGGGACAGTGTGCTGGTCTTGACTGCGCATCTTTGAGAGTGAAAGGGAGGGGGGACTCTCCCACGGAGACAATAAAGTGCAACAGAAAATGTTAGAAGCTTGTCTTTTACTCACCTTTGCTAGATAGAGGGTTTGAAGAGTACTGGTATTTGACATTTGGTTGTCACCTGACCACAAAGTCATCTTTAGACGTACCCACTTCACTCTGCAGCTCCTGCATGTTTCTGCACTGTACCAGTGTGTGGCCTAAGCTTTTTTATGGGTAGAGTAGGGGAGAATAGTAATAGCTGTGGATGTGCTCTGAGTCTGTGATCTGTTTTCCTGGGATCAGTGGATTTGCTATGGTGCTCAGAGTCAAGTCAAAGATGTTTGTGGTGTACCATAATATTCTTGACCTGATGGACCTGCAGTATATAATTAGCTTTAAATTGAGGAATAAAACTAGGGCTATGGTTTGTTTGTTTTTTTGGTTTGGTGTGTTGTGGTTTTGTTTTAAGGTGGTCTGTTTTTTTTTGTAAATCTCTATAATTCTATTGTAACTGTTGGGTTGAAATAAGGCAGCTGGCTGCTTTCAGAAATCTATCTGTCTCCTGGTTAGATGTTGAATTAGCTCTGGGCATAGGAAACTGGGGAGAGATTGTGAGTGGGAAGGCAGGAGACAAACGCAAAGCCTTGCAAAGAAAAGCCTTTTAAAAAGAACAAAACACAAAACCACACACACAAAGCCACCACACCCTGACTTCAGTTAATAGTACTTGTTGCATACTATGAATTTGTTTGTTAAAACGACATTTTCTCTAGAGTATCAGTAAAAGGTATACTTTAAAAAAAATAAATCACATACTTGCTTTTTGATATTACAATTTCACAGATACGACTTCATGGTTAACTACAATTGTGTGATTGGGATAAGAGGGGATTACTTCGGGTGAGAGTTGTGCTGTGTGAAGCTTTTTGTTTTGTTTCACCATCTCTGTAAGAGAGGGGAATTGCTGTATCAGTCCTATTGCCACCTAGTCAAGTGTGTAGCACCAGCCACTTTCATGTTGTTCCTAAAAGCAGAGAGCAACATGCTGCAAGTCAAAAGCATATAAAATACTACAACGACCTGAAATATGAAGGGATAGCAAAGGTATTTCCCCAATAACACCTTTGAAGCAAACAGGTTTTTATTTTATTCTTCCCTGTTTATTTCTTTTACAGTATAGTAAACTATAGACAAATTTCTTCTCTTGCAGACTTCCAGTTTCTGGTAGACTATATTTGTTTGTTCAGTACATACTCCTTTCCCCTGAATCGGTTCTTGTTGCCAATTTATTGTAACCATGACCTTACTGACTGTCAGAAAGTCCAGCCTTTAGCTGTTGAGCAGACTTTTTTTCTCCCTTGTGCTCAAAGAAAACCAAGGATGTAACACGTGTACATGACTGCTGTACATTCAGGGCACCGCAGTGCCCTGAGCATTTTACAAAATTATCAGTAACAGAGCAGGCCCACAGTGCTGGTATACCCTGGTATTTTCTCCCTTACTGTCTGAAAGATGCACTTACCGAGATCAACACTGGGCCACCTGCAGTGAACACTGCAAAAACAAAAGTCAGTCTGCCTTCTCTGCATGAATCCTATCAAGCTGGCATGAATTTTGTAACTGAAGCAGAAAACACTGTTCTTCACGTGGAAGAAATGAAAACTGACCAACTTAATGACTAGTCCAGAAAGGAGATAAACAAAGGCTGGAACATTAGAAGCAGTTTGCAATACAGGGAGCAGGAAAAAGATGAATGTTTTTCATGGAGGAAACGCCATACTTAAAATGTCAGTGAAGCACATCCCTAATTCAATCTGCCCAGCTGTCATAAGCTTCATAGGCAGTACAAAAATGATACATACATTCTCAAGGCCTTATTGTGTGACACAGATGAAGTCAGTTGAGCAATGAAAGATGGGTATTGTGGCATGGTCCTCAACTTCACCAGTGAAAAGTTCACACAGCTCAAGACTTTTACCAGAGCTAGCAGAGAGTGGTATTTCTGCCTTAAGGAAAATCCAAAGGTCTAACAGGTTCCTTTCCAAACATGGATGAAAAGCCAAAATACCCATTTTTCATTAAATTAAATATTGCCTAGCCTAGAGAAGGGATGTGGGAAATGGAAGGAAAACTGCTCTTTGCTCTCAAGCACTTACAGACTGTTGCAAAAAGAAAGCAATAGTTTCTTCTTGGATTTTATACAGAATAAAAGAACTAATTAAGAGCTTAATTTTAATTAGGCTAAGACCTCAGGAGCCTCTTTTAATGTAAGAAGAGGAAAGAATAACTGTAAAGCTTCTGGAGCCTCCATCACTTGAGGGCTATAAGAACAGGTTAAGCAAACGCCAGGCAAGAATGGCTGAAGTATAGGTGGTTCTTGAAATAGGACGAGAGGCCTCTTGAGAGAAGTTAGCACAGCCTTACTTTCTTTTATTTCGATCTCACTGAAACATTTATATATTTCAAAGCTCAGGAGTGTCTGAGAGGGATAGGAGTTGTTGTTTTATGTATATGTAAAACCATAACATTTACCATATTACCGTTAATTTACCAGATTTACCATATAAATTGTGGTAATTTGTTTAGATAGATATAATTACAGAAAAAGACATTCATTAATTTCCTGTGAAAATTCTAATTATGTTCTCAGGAAATGTTCAGATGCTGATTTTCCAGGGCGACAGATCTTTGTCAATATGAAACACCAGCAAATTTAAATTTAATTTTGCATGGTAAGACTAGGCCTAGCTTCACAAAAGCCAGTACAACTTGAAACACTTATGTCTGAGGAATAAAGTCCGTAAGTACTGTGCCACTCGTAGGCTATAACTGAAAGTTAGACACCTTAGACCTACAGAGCTGTAGGAGTGAACCTAGTCATCCACTCTGTCACCTTAGTGGTGGAAATACAGAACTACAATGCAGCTGGAAAAGTGTCTTCCTAAGGGAATGAGATGGTGCTATAGGTTTGCAAGCTGTTTCCACGACTGCATCTGCTTTATACCTTCAGTTTTTGAGGAGGATGTGTCTGAAAGAGCATCATCTAAGATGCATGTTTGAATCCCCTGGGCTGAGGGTGACATTGTTTTCTCAGTGTCTGATAAATACATTTATAATACTAATTTTTTTTTTCAGTTAATATACCTTAGTGTTGCTAATATCTTCCTCTAGAAGCCTGTTACCTTTCTGAGAGATGTAAGCTTTAGTCTTAAACACAAGCTCTGTTTTAAAAGATGAATGAGTGAAACTGCATTGCTTTGGGAAGGAGTGGAGAAAGGAAAAATCCTTTGCTCTCTCAACTGACCAAGGGCTTTGGAGCTGCTGAGCGACACTACAGCACCACATTGCCTCTCTGCTGGGCAAATAAGATCTTGCAAGGCACCTATGCAAAGAAGATGGCTTAAAACAAGAGCTTGGTCAAAGGAACCTGTCTTCTGATATTTTTAAGTGATTTATGTCTCAGTCAAGAGGAGAAGTAAGCATTTTCTCTTGTGATGGCTGGTCGCAAAACTTGGCTGGAGGGTATGAAATGCTACTTTTCCTCATCAAGAAGGCTTCTGCTCTAAGCAGTAGCCTTGCATCTAGTTTGCTGATGCAAAGTCCCCCATTGAGGTAGAAGAGCCTTTGAGCCACTTAAGTTACAAACCTCTCTTCATTTCACTACTTTTTCTAGAACAGGCAGCTGGTGGTGCAGTGTAGATCGTAAGAGCTCCTGTGCAGTACAACAGTGTACTTAGTAGAGTCTGAGATTGTTAGATGGCACTGGGGAAAGGAGGGCTCTGTGTCCAGTGCACACTTTGCAATGTGGAAGCTCTACATTCGTTCCCCAGGTAACATGCTGTTAGTGCCATGTTTGCAGGGAGTTGGTTGGTACTGATGGCAATTCAGCTGGGTTCCTGTGTCTGAGAAGAAAACCCAGTCTGCCAGTGGCCCAAACAGCAGTACAGTTGCATAACAAGCTAAGTACCAGGTGAAAGTGAGCCAGAAGACATTAAGTGCTGTTATCTAGATGGACCCATGCAAGCATCACATATGCTATAGCTCAGCAGTCTGGCCATCAGATTAAGACAGACTCCTGCCAGACAGACTCACCCATGGCACAGCAAGATCCCCAACAGAATCTGTCAAACCAAAATATTGCAGTTAAATTTGGTGAGATACACTTTTGTCTGGGGTTTTGTGTTTGGGTTTTTTCTCAAATGTCACAACTCATAAGGCAAATACTTTTGAGGACCTCTCATTTAGTGAAGAACTTGGATTTCATCTTCAGGGTAATGCCAGCTGCTGGCTTGAGATACCATACCACAGCCAGCTTTAGTAACATCCCATGGCACAGAACAAACTGGTTATACCTTATATCACAACTAAAGTTGTATAAAGAATTTGAGAAAATAGACTGATTGAGCTGACACAGTAAGAACCAGGTGTATCAAAATACAATTTATTCTTAAAATGGCTAGTTTACACATAACAGCAAGGGTTATGTAGGGGAAAAGTGCAATTAGTGGAGGAGGCTTATTTCACCTTAGTATTTATTGTCTCGCTGCACTGCAAGTAGCTTCAGAGTCAGGATATTATACTTCTTAGCAATGGGCAAAAATGTGATTTATATTTTGATGTTAACAGCATTTCTGTACAGCTAAAAGGTGTGCCAGTATTCACACCTGCCAGGTACATATTCGACAATTTCTCACACAAGTCTTGCATGAAACACATAGGACCTTTACAGTTTGACAACCCAGAAACTAAATTATAAGCATACAGATAAAAATATACATTAGTTTACTGAAGTCTAAAAAATACTTCAGAAAATGAGGTACAATAAAACAGAGCAGTTTTCTATTTATGTGCAAGCTATATTCAGCCTAGAAGAAACTAGCAATCCTGCTCTTTTAAAGAAATCAACTTTCACAAAGTGCAGCTAATTCACTGTCTTCAATATGAAGGACCTTGCCTATGTTACACACTTGCGAAAAGTCATTGCTAACTTTGCAATAGGGAGTAGGATATTCAACCATCAGATGCTGTTAAGATTAGATCAGGTGATGAGCCAAATCATCTAATGTTGCTATAGTCTAGAAAGCTTACAAATCACGTTTTGTCACCTAAGCCTATTTTTGGCATGTAGGGTAGTTTTACATTTTTTTTAAAAGGTATACTTTTCTTTTAAAATTAGAAGGTAACCATCTACCTGCCAAGTGAGTAGGATGATGAAGTCAAAGTTAGATTTGTTCTCAAATGAAAGACATTTATTATTCACAAAGCCAATGAGGACAGAGATGTCTTCCCAAAGCAGAGGTCACTCTGCACTGTTTTCTGTATTCTCCTTTGTATTCCACAGAACTTTCTATGGATTTAGAAGACCAGCTTTGAAAAGAAGAAATTAGAACACTGTACATTTCCAAGTTATACAGCACATTCTACTTCTTCCTCTTCTCCTACTTTTCCATTATCTTCTCTAAGTTTCTTAACCTGTATTGAAGTCACAAATCCTACCTGCCTCTGCTACAAGCACATAGTCATAGCAAGCCTCCATCCTGACAGCATCACCTGATATCTACTGCACTCCTAATAGGTGCAAAGTGGATTGTGATGTTCTGTTCATGTAACATCCCTGTGCACACACACACTCTCACACATGCAGTTACTACAGCTTACTAAAATACCATTGCCTTCCATACTTCCTCCCAAGAGTGTCCCTCCTGACTCAGGAGAGCCAACAGCAGAAAGCAAGCAGCATATACTTAAGATACAGGCATGCTATTTCTATAGTGGGTGACATATGCATGGCTTTTATCTTGGGTTTCTTTGTGCCAAGGGTTTTGGCAAAGAACTTCAGTAGCATAATATGGTTTAACAAGTCCCACAGACTAGTGAATTTGGATATGTTCAGACAGCCAACAAAACCTGCCAGGTGGTTTCATTGCATAGTATGTGAACCAGAAAACTAACACTGTTCTGTTGCCAAGTGGAAGAATGCTTCCTTGCTAGTATGGATCACCAATATGGTGATGAATTTTCAATCTGACCCAAGCTCTGCCACTGGGGAAAGAGACCACTGGACAGCCTTGGACTGCCTAGTTGATCAGGCTCTCGCTCTTGTTCTCCCCTTGGAGTCTGAAGATCTACACAGTCTTTCTTAGCAGGTGGTATCTGAACACCATCAGGTTTCCACTCTGCGTGGAGAATCTTGTAATTTTGACCCTCATTATTGTCCCAGAAGGTATGTTCTCCACTTTGGTAAGAAATGCAAAACTCTATCTTCTCTTCAGAGGAAATGGCAGGAGGCAAGTCAATGATAAATGAGAAGGTATCATTTTCAGAATCGCCGTAAACATTGTTCATGTATACACACTCAATATCTCTGTAGGTCTTCCATGTATCAAAGGTAATTCGAACCTGAACCTTTTTTTCAAAGCTCACATTTTTCACTTTCACAGTGCCTGACAGCACCTTCTCTTGCAGGGTGCAGTTCTCCAGGCAGACTAAATTCTTCTGCAGGCGGTTCCTGAAGTCCAGGTAGTCAGCCGAGGGCCGAGGGAAACCTAGAATCAAGGTTTTTTCCTCATGCAGCTTTAAGCCAGATGTTATGTTTTCAAGGCCTAAGAGGTCAAACTGAAGATCCCATCCAGGGTGCTCCTGGAACTCAGAGAATGTGTGTATTGCCGTCAGGGACAGCCCCTTCGAGTCTGCAAACACAACTCGCTTCTTGGCTCGGGCTGCTGAGTGGTTCCAGTTGCCATTCTGAGCTTCAGAGTCACGTTTCACGTGAAGACACGGTCTGAGAGGTTTGAATCTGTTCACAAAATTGTTTCTTTGACAGTCCTCAAGGGGGCTGAGAAAACTCTTCAGCGGTGGAGAATGGGCTAAGCAAATTCTCATGGCCATGTCCACAGGCATGATGGAGCTTGGCAAGGGTCTTGGGTCCAAGATCTGTATCATTCTGAAAGGAGCAGAAAGACAGCATGTTATTTGTTACATCAGGTAAGAAGCTTCTTAAGAATACATATTTGCTTCATCCCCTGTCTTAATTATTCATAGCTTTAAATAATGCAGCCTAAATTAAAATGGACAGTTCAAGTGAAGGAACTAGGGTGCAACTATTCAGTTATTTCTTGCTAATGCTGAACTCTTTCAATTCAAATGTAGTCTCATTTGCTTCTTCTGAACCTCTGAAAAACAGATTTTAGTGACAGCTAATTAAACACATTTCCTTGAAAATACATAAAAGAACATTCTAGTAACCAATAAAACAGATCCAGTTACAGTGAAAGTGCTCACCCACATTAGCTCCCTTTTAGAGACTCGGAGCCAGGTCTTAAAATTCCAGCAAGCTGGATCAGCTGCTTCATCTCTGAGCAGAGACAGCACTATATTAAGCAAGTCACCTATCCCATCGGAGCATCAAATGGGGATGCTACGTATCTTGATGCAGAACTGTCACACCGTGGCTCCAAACAACCGTAAGTGCATTTATTAGGCACTGTGGTTTTTGTTAATTCAGATGAACAAAAATGCTGAAGTACCTTTGGAAATATTTTCTATGAGCTATTCACCTAGGTCTAGGTATTGACAGTGCAAAAGAGCTCCAATGTTGACTGCTGAGTGAATAGAAACATCTTTTTCTAAACCCGAAGTCAAAGCTGAAACATCTTTTTCTAAACCCAAAGTCAAAGCTGAAAGCCTACTTCAAGTATTCAAAAATCTTACAGCTTTATTTGTAAGGACTTACTCATAACCCTCCCTCTCATATGATGAAAATCACAATTACTATGCAAAACCAGGACCCATTCAAAGCCAGTCAACTTGAATATTTGTAAAAAGGGGCTTCAAATGCAGCACAGTCCTTCTGAGAAGGATGCAGTTTTTGCTCAAATTGTGGATTTCTGTTGAGTCATGGGAAGCCAGAGCATTTGCTTTGTCACTTAAATAAATGGCTTTCTCCTTCCCAGGGTGCTTACGGTATTCCATAGCCCTGCCAAAAAAAAAGCAGAATATGCACTGGCCTCTTAATTCTTCTCCGGTTTTTACTGTGGCAGTACTTGCCATAATAAGTAGGACAAGGAGAGTACCAGTATCAAATCAGTCAAGTTTTGCCTTGCTGTAACAGGAAAAGAATGAAAGCTTCAAAATACTCTCTGCAACTTCCGTGACCAGCTCCTAAGCTTTTGCTTAGGGGAAGGGGGAGGAAAAAAAAACCCCAAAAAACAATAAAAACCAACCAACACCACAGCCTGAAAAAGACAGGCTGCTAGAAGAGGCAAAAAGGAACCGCTGGGAAGGACGAGGCAGGCTCAGCGCTAGCCAAGTGTAAGGGCGCGTTCGCAGGACCGATAAAACCGGGGGAGGGGGGCGGGAGGAGAGCCGCGCGCGTTGCGGCTTCACTCCCCCC